AATTCAACTTGAAAAAGATCGTGGTCTGAACAGCGATGATGCCATGATACCAGCTTTGTATTTGACGTATTGAAAGTTACGCGCCAGTTATTTCCCCGTTAAGCGCGATCAGACGAGAGATCAGCTTGCAAGATTGCGATTATCTTGGTTTTTGGAAATGTGTCCATAATCTGTGGGATTATCTGCATAGTGGCTTACTAGTGATCGGGAACAGTTCCTTGGTGGATCGATAATAAAAACAAAAAAACAGAAAGGGAACAGTACCGAGGAGATTGACTTAAGTGACCTCAAGTTAAGAAGCCCTGCAATGAACATTTCAAACATAGAGCAGTGTTTCCCAACCGGTACTTGTGGGCGGAGATATGCGCCCTGAAAGCTAGCCCAGTGCGCCACAAGTTAGCAGAGGAGTAATTTAAGTATTATTTTTATATTTAAAAAAAAAATCTTTATTTTTAAAAAGCTAGAGGCACTAAATCCATGGCTTCCATGTTATTTCAAACTGGATATAAATTTTAAATTTTATAATTGATTCCTCTTTATTAAATTTTCATCCTAGAGTTTTAGTTATTCTACAAGTGCGCTGCTGAAGAAATAAAAGTTGACAAACATTGACATAAAACATTCAGAATTGAACCGTTCCTCGTGACTTGAAAAAGATCATGGTCTGAACAGTGATGATGACATGATACTAGCTTTGTTTTTGATGTATTTCTCTCCTCTTAAAAATAAATGCTTATTTCAAGAGACTCCTTTATTATTTACTAGCCGAATACAGAGAACTAATACACAGCGGGCCACATGCTTCCCTAAATGAACAGCATCAGATTTCGAAATCATAATTGTCCTTCTGGACTTGTTAACAACTAATTCTAAAATGCCCAGTCTACTCAACTATTTAATCCATAAACCAGCTAAATCACAGCTAGGCGCGCTCCAAAGTGCATCCCAAGCTAACAGAAGAATAATATACGAATTATTTTTATATTAAAAAAAAAAAAACTTTATTTTTTAAAAGCTAAAGACACCAATCACATGGCTAAATCAAGTTTTTTCATTTGATATTTTAAAATGGATGCTAGATCCTTTAATCTTTAAGAAGGAATAGATAATCCTTTCCTTTTTGCCTTCCTCAAGGGATTTAAATCAGTCATTATCGGCCTCACTAAAAAAAATTACCAGATCCTTCAAAAATTCCTTTAAATGTAAACTGTACCGCTACTTTTCTTTGAGAATGCTAAACCAAAATTTCAAAATTGCAAATGTACACTATCGACTACAAAGATTTCATGCTAAAAATCAGTATTTGAAAGCTCGTTTTTATTTTAAATTTGGGCCGACCAACGAATGCTCCGTGAAATGTAGCCGAGTGCGCCCGAAATGAACAGAAGAATAATTTATGAATTATTTTTATATTTAAAAAAAAAAATCTTTATTTTTAAAAAGCTAGAGACACCAATGGCTTCCATGTCTAAATTTTTTCATTTGATATTTTAAAAGTGGATGCTAGATTCCTTAATCTTTAAGAAGGAATGGATAATCCTTTCCCTATTACCTGAACAGAAAAGAGAAGCTGATCACTATATCTGCTGATCGTGGCTTACAAATAAAGCATAAAGTGGTGTACATTGATCAATTTTGGATTTCTATTCAAGAAAAATATCCTTCAGTCGCTAGCAAAGTATTGAATATTTTATTGCAATTTTTCCTAATCATACCTCTGTGAATTAGGGTTTCCTGTACTTACCAATATTAAATACAAAAATAGATCAAATATTAAATACACTGACGAGGAAATGAGAGTATGTTTATCACAAAAAAGCCTAACATTCAAATAATTGTCAAAGCACACCTAACCCAAGTTTCACATAAGCATGTTTAAATATACAATTTAACATCTTAAAAATAAATGCTTATTACAGGAGAATCCTTTATTATGTATTAGCTGAATACAAAGAATTGGTACACAGCGGGCCACATGCTTCCCTAAATGAACAGTATCAGATTTCGAAATCATAACTGTCCTTCTAGACTGGTTAACAACTAATTCTAAAATACCCAGTCTATTCAACTATTTAACCCATAAACCAGCTAGCCCCCCACACACCAAAGTGCATCCCAAGTTAACAGAAGAATAATATATGGATTATTTTTATATTAAAAAAAAATCATTTTTAAAAAGCTAAAGACACCAAGCACATGGCCTCCATGTCTTTTTTGTTGTTTGATATTTTAAACAGGAGACTAAATTCCTTAATCTTTAAGAAGGATTGGATAATCCTTTCCCTATTGCCTGAACAGAAAACAGAAGCTGATCACTATATCTTCTGATCATGGCTTACAAATCAAGAATAAAGTGGCGTACATTGATCAATTTTGGATTTCTATTCAAGATAAAATATCCTTCAGTCGCTAGCAAAGTATTGGATATTTTATTGCAATTTTCAGCATTATACCCCCGGAAAAATGTTAAATAGAGCTCACACCATTGTGATTGGCTGTTGGTCAACTTCCAATCAAATGCGTGATAGTGGGTTATGGCTTGCCTAATATAAGCCAGTGTCTGCAGGCTGTTAATTTAGAGGGGGTAGATCAGAGACTGATCAGCTCTGATGGGGTCCACTTGGTGACGGGGAGTATGATGTTTGAAAGACCCGAAACTGCCCAATGATCCAATTCAGAACATCGCTGACGACGCCCTCTAGCTCTAAAGAGCGTATGTTCAAAGTACTGGTGAACTATGTGTTTTTAGAATTATTTACATTCTCTGGAATATAAATGTATAAAAATTACCATGACCACTAAATGGGGGGATCAGTTTTACTATTAATTTTGATATAGAATTGTTCCCCCACTTTATATGCATATTATCATAATCATATACTGAATATAAGTCAGTGTCTTCAGACTTTAATTTATATGAGAGGGCGCATCAGAGACAGATCAGCTCTGATGGGGTCGACTTGGTGAGGGGGAGTATGATGTTTGAAATACCCAAAACAGCCCAATAATCCAATTCAGAACATCACTGACGACGCCCTCTAGCGCTAAAGAGCGTATATTCAAAATACTGATGAGCTATGTACATATGTTTTTAGAATTATTTACATTCTCTGGAATATAAATGTATAAAAATTACCATGACCACTAAATGGGGGATCAGTTTTACTATTAATTTTAATATAGAATTGATCCCCCGCTTTATATGCATATTATCATGATTATATACTGAATGTCTGCAGGCTGTTAATTTAGATGGTGGGAGGCGAATCAGAGACTGATCAACTCTGATGGGGTCGACTTGGTGAGGTCAGTATGATGTTTGAAAGACCCGAAACTGCCCAATGACCCGATTCAGAACATCACTGACGACACCCTCTAGAGCTAAAGTGCGTATATTCAAAGTAGTGTGAAAAAGGGTTTTCTGTACTTACCAATATTAAATACAAAAATAGATCAAATATTAAATACGCTGATGAGGAAATGAGAGTATGTTTATCACATAAAAGCCTAACATTCAAATAATTACCAAAGCCCACCACGCCCTGTTTTCACACAAGCATAATTAAATATACAAATGTAATGTCTTAAAAATAAATGCTTATTTCAGGAGACTTCTTTATTATTTTCCTGTTTTCCAATTTGATGACCACTTTTTCCCAAATTAAAATCTAAGGTGTGCCTTTGAGATTTCGCTATTCTACAAGTGTGCCCTGGTTTAGATCCTTTCTTACCAACGGGGGTTCTTTCAGGGCTCCATCATTGGTCCTACGATGTTTTCTAATCTTCATTAACTACCTTTCCGTTGACATCAGGTCCCAACACGGCATCTTCGGTGACGACACAACCATTTACTCCTGTCTCAATAGTAAGGCTGATCAGTCCGATAAGCTCTAAGTGGCAGCCAATGTCCAAAACAATCTCAAATGCGTCGTTAACTATGGGAAAAGATGGCTTGTCTATTTTAAAGCCGCTAAAAACTAAACTTTTCTCCATTAATCATCCAGGAAATTGACTTGTTGCTCCTTCTCTGGCTAACCTTCTCAGCTAACATGAAGTGGAAAGACTATATTGAATCCATTGCTAGGTCAACTGCTAAGAAAGTTGGTTCACTGTGTCGTAACAGACGATTTTTCTCTCCAGAATCTATCTTATATATCTATAAATCTATCATTCGTCCATACTTAGAAAATTGCTACCACATATGGTCCGGTGTCCCTGATATCAACCTTCAGCTCTTTGATAAGATCCAAAGAAGAATCAGCAATATTATTGGTCCTGATCTGGCTGCTCGGCTTCAGTCATTTACGCACCACCGTAAGCCTTCCTCTCTGTGACTTTTTTTATAAATACTTTCAATTGTAATAGTTTCCATCAGCTCTTCACTACGGTAAATACTCATTGAGGCTATTTTTTAAATTGTTGTTTTATCCCCCTCCCCCGACAGATAATGAATTGTACATATAGGGACTTGTTAGGATTCTCATAGAGACAATGAGGTATTATGGTGGATGTAGTAAGAAAGGTAAGTAAGAATGTGTTGTTTTGGTGTTAGGAATATTGTGGTATGTTTGGGTCAGTGCTTTTAGCTAAGTTTAAATTTAAGACAGAACAAGACCGTCCTTTTCCCCATTCCTTTTTTTTTTTGGCCTTGTGCCACATTTTCTGTAAATAAGCGGAAATAAATATAACTCTTCTCTATGGTACCTAGACTCTGTGAATTTAAGCGTCGTAAATACTAGCGTCGAAGTGTCGTCAATTTATAACTGACTTGGCTAAATGTAGCCGTAAGTTAGATGCTAACAGTTTCTTTTCTCGCACTTCTCGGTTGTGGAACTCCCTTTCCAGCCAACTTTAATCTACAAAAATCTAAATGCAATGTCAATCGCTATCTACTGTCCTGGTTGCTCTCTTCTTTTCTTGCTAATCATTAATGTTTTCGTTCTTAATTCTTCCACATCCTTTGTATCTTAGTGGCTTTATTGCCTTGCTTGAAGCGATAGCGAAAAAAAAGGTTCTATGATTTCTCACTCTGAACCGCTATCTATTATACGACTAGCATATCCACCTTCTCTCTTTCTTTCTTTCTTTCTTTCTTTCTTTCTTTCTTTCTTTCTCTCTCTCTCTCTCTCTCTCTCTCGCTCTCTCTCTCTCTCTTTCTCGTTATATACCTACCAACATATATATATATAAGTACTGAAAATCTAAATCATGGTAATCCGTATGGATAATCCCAAGGAGGATGAAATCCGGAGAGCTCAATGTTAAATCAGAGTGATTAATTGTTTAAGGAAACAGACAACTTTAAGGTTCCATGG